CTTGAGATGACATGTGTTGTGAAGTGGCGCTATATAAATAACCTGAATTGAATTGAATTGAATTTTGAGCAAACTTTAAATAATGTCAGGTTTTCTACATTAATCACCTCATTAATTCATTGAAGGGAATTAATGAGGTGATGCAAAGCATCAGTGTTGTAGTACTCGAGATCGGTCTTGGTCTCAAGACCGGTCTCGAGACCATTTTTTGATGGTCTCAGTCTCGTCTCGGACTTGACCGCATTTGGTCTCGGTCTTGTCTCGGTCTCGGTCGCTGAGGACTCGGCATTTTATTTCAAGACCGGTCAAGACCACAACTGTGGAAATAACGCTAATCATCGGAATATTATCAATTTCTTTAAGATCCTTCTTTTTATTGGATGCTTTGATTCAAATCCAAGCAATAACCTGTCTCATTGGTAAATGCAGTGAAGGAGATCAATCTATTTTTTCAACAAATTATCTGCCTCATAACATATTTTACAACTTGGTGACAGATATAGATTTATTTAAGAAAAGTTATATAATATAGCTTCAATCTGTATATGAGAGAGAAACAAGAGAAATGATTGGCTTTTTTTCAGTTTTACACATTTTACAGAATTTTGCACATTTTTTTGAAATAGCACATTTAAAAACAACATAAATGTATGTACTGTTCATGAACGGCAGAGAAAATACAATTTTGATTGACTTTGATTAATTGTTTGAAATTCTGTGATTACTACACAGAAGTACTAAATAATGATGTTAATGCTTAGTCCAGTTCTGTGTGTTAAATATCTAGGTGTTTTTATGTGAATGTGGGTCTTTTAGATCAATTTTTGTGATTTTGATCATGTTTCACATTTTATTGTCACATACTGGCGCTGGTCTTGGTCTTGACTCGGTCTCGACTTCCCTCGGTCTTGGTCTTGACTTGGTCTCGGACCCTAAAAGTCTTGGTCTTGTCTTGGTCTCGGGTTAGGTGGTCTTGACCACAACACTGCAAAGCATATTGTTGTCATACACTGTTGTTACTCCAGGCTGTAGTAAAAAGGAAGTAGAATTGGCAAGCTGGCCATTCATTCTGCAGATCAGTGGTGGATCGATGTTTTATTGAATATGTTGCAATAGGTCAAGTTGTTCTTACTTTATCGTGTCTGCTAGTATTAACAACTGTTCATGCCAACTGGAGACGTCAACAAAGTATTCTTATGCTGCATTCAGGACGCAAGCAGCGGGGAAACACCTGATCGGTCATGTGAGGTTAATATTTGACTCAATCTTTAATATAAGGCTCTCTCTGAAGGGTCTAAACAACTTAGAAATTACTCTTCAGGCTGATGGATGCCAAGAAGGGCATTTCTCTGTTACAGCTGTTCTTGAAATACTTTAGGTCTTAAAGTGTTCTTATAGTTTTTTTTTGTTTTTGTTTTTTTGGCATGCCTTATGTCAAACAGAAAAAATATATATATACGTTTTAGGGGAGAATAATAAAGAGAAATGTTTATTGGGTCACTTAATTGTCTTTTGAATGTGTAATTGACTTATTTCCTTGGCATTTTTAGCCCGATAACTTGCTTTGATTTCTCTCTTTTTTTCCCCTTTTTTTGTCTTGCAATTTGAATAAATCCTCTGTTTGTTATTCATCTACTAAGTAGTATTTCTTGGGGTAGTCAAATGTCCAAAAATGAGTCCTGAGGCTCCACTTTTCAACTCTTAGCATTAAAGCATTGCAGAAGATCCATCATCTTTGGATTCTTTGTAGGGCAAAAATATAAATCAGGTCAGTTTTATTCTCTCTAAGTACAGATTGTCATATATTGAAACAACAGTAAGGAATCAACTCTCTGAGGGTTAATCAGAAGCATGCCAAACCAAAGAGCTTGGTGAAAGCTGTATGTATTAGATGTCAAACACTGAAGCAACACATCATTTTTATGCAACACAATACATCTGTTGAACCACTATTTAGCCTACCTTCCTGTGAAGGTTGAATTAATATGACTCAGGCTCGTTTGTTCATCTTTCGCAGACTAAAGTCCTTTCCAAAGAATAAACATCCTGTCTTGTTAGACCGTTTAGTCAGTGCTTTCTTACTCTGCCTGCTAAGTAAACTTGACTGTTGCTTTGATAAAACGTTAACTTCACCTTTTAGAGGTCAGCACAGGGATTTTTCCCGTTTGTTTTTAAGGTGGAGTAAAAGAAGTGTTCTTACCCTTGACATGTATCCTTAATTCATTTTGAACTGAGATTGAATAAAGATTTATATTTCTTTATTCCTGTCAAAAGTAAAAAATCTTCTTAGTAGTCCCTTTTTCTCCCGTTTTTTTAGTGCATTGTACTGTAAGACATATTCTTCATATAAATGCATGGCTTCACAGCTGCAATTAGCAGAAATTAATTGGAGAGGCAGGAAATGTCCCATGTTAAATTTGAAGGGGCAACAAAGATCAGTAATTTGGATAAATAACGATGGAACCAAACGACCCATTCATCGGTTACCATTTGCATGTTTCCAAGCGATACAAGGCTTTGTCTATATAAGACTCAAACTCACTGCGGATCCAGACATTTGAATTGAGAAAGCTTCCTGGAGAGGTGGCGAAACGTCTTCAAATCTTGGAAACCAAGTCCAGTGGATATTTTTTGAATTTTTACGGAATTAGATAAATAACCTGATGATAAACCAACTAATGGTCATGCAATTTACAATCAGCCTCTTAAGCTAGATTGGTATGGAGTGAATTTTATGCCATGATTTGTTGCAAGCAAAGAGAAATTTTTGAAAATGGAAATTTGAAAAAAAAAAACCTTCAAGAAATGAAACTTTTTTAATCCCAAAAAGTAACTTTTTCAAATTTATTTTGCATATTATTTTTGAAATGTTTTTATTTCCTAGAAAAATGCAAATCAAATTTTTGTTCGTCATATTTTGTCAAGATTTCTTTTTCAGACATATTATTTTTTGCGATTTTACTTTTGTTCAGATTTCAATTTTTAAGACCGTTTTATTTATAGCATTCTTCTCTAATTTTAAAGAACACAATTTCTTCAATTTAAGACCAATACAAATGCTCTTGACATAACCACTGACCAATGATAAGGTTGTTACATCCATTTAGACACTTCAGAGGAAAGCCTGCCTGCAGAGATGAAGTTGTGATCCTAGAAAGACAATGTGAAAAGAACGCTATATGTAAACTTGATCTAAAGCGAAAGAACTTTGTAAACAAGTAGAAAAAAATTGTTAAATCTTTGTTCAATTTTTTACATTTTGTTTGAAATTTTTTTTTAAATACATACATTGAAGATTTTATAAATTTTTTTTAAAGCAAAATCTAAGAAAACAGCAATGTTACCTAAAACCTTTTCTGGAAAAAAAAAAAAAAAAAACAATTCTAAAAGTTTCCCTTCTTGATTGCATTTTTTTCAAATTGCAATTCCTAATATATGTTCTTTGCTAGCAACAATAATGGAACAAAAATTCAACCATTGTTCCTGGAAAAAGGTCCTTTTGAATTTTAACCTGAATGTATAGGGGAAGCTATTAACAGGTGTAAGATATTATTAGATGTTATTAGATGACTTCTAAACTGATGTGTGGGGAGGTAGACTAGCACTTTCATGTCACTGTGAACACTCCAACTCCACAGCAGAGTACGGTGGTGGCAACAACACTCCTTATTGACACTCTCCTTAGGGGGTGAGGTAGACCCTGCACATTTAGAGTATTTTTGGCTCAACCTGCTGCTGTGAAGCAGGATTCTCCGTCATGAACAGAATCAAAAATAAATATGGATCCAGGCTCAAAATGAGCTCCTTGATATGTGCTTTAGAATGGCTTTGTCTCCATTCAAACCCAGGTTTAAAGCCTTGCAGGGCAGCATAAAGCCCACTGCTCTCATTAAGCCAGAAAAAAGAAAGAAAAATAACAAATGGTCAGTAAAAGGTATACTATGCAGCCGGTGTTGATTTTCCAGCGAGGCTCCCCCCAGAGGGTGAAAGTAAAATTGCACTGTCGTAAATACGCTCAGCTGTTCTCCTGGTTTCTCCGTCAAGCCAGGCGCGGTTGTTTTGAGCTTAGCAGACAGGCGAACGCAACGAATGACTAACACAGTGAAAGTATGAACATGCACACAGAGAGAGAGAAACCATTCCAATGTTACTTACAATCGCATCAGCAGAAACGCGAGGTCCGCGTCAGCCTTGCAGCCTTCTTTTTATTTTAGCTCTCGCCATTCAGAAAAAGCTTGCCCGATGTTCACCCGTGTACGACTCCTCTCTCTGTCCAGAGCCCTTTTCCTCTTTCTTGCCTGCTCCAACATGGGCTTTCGCTGTTTTCACGCTGGTTCCGCCATGATAACTGCACAAAGATCGCCACTGTGCTAGCAACGAGCATGCTTTTAACTGGGGGCGTGTAGCAGTTCTCGCCCTAAAGCAAGACCGACTCTCGCGAGACTTCTGAGCCTGTGGGTGCGGGTCGAGGGCTCCTGCAATTGCAAGTGCGGTATTTCCCCCACAGACCACCAGGGCGGCCCTGAATACCTTTGTTCAACCTGAAATGACTCATTTAATCATCCAAAACGTTATGGAACACATTAATTAACTGAAAAATGTTGCATAGTGTGCCTTTAAGGTGTTTTATAAAATATGTCAATCAGGAAATTGTCTATATACCAAACTGAACGATTGATGTTCTCTACTTCAAAAAACACTTTTTAAAATAAAAAATGTTCTTTCTTTTTTTTTTTTACTGTAATAGTCAATTTATAACATGGATGGAAACCTCATCTTATTTCAGTGTTAAATTCTGTTTAAGGTAACAGATTATAATTTTTGATAAAACCCCAATGTAACCAACTGAGGCTTTAGTTTATGCGTTGACAGAGAGAAAAAGGGCAATGGTTATGAATATTTTTGCCTTTTACTGAGGGGCATCTGTCTATGACCTCCACTCATCCCTGCATGTTACGATGTTGTCAGTAACACAGAATGATGTTGATTTGTCCCTATAGGGAAATGCTTTCTCCCTGGAGGAGCGTCTCCAGCTGGGAATCCACGGCCTGGTGCCCCCCTGCTTCATCAGCCAGGACCTCCAGCTGCTCAGAGTCCTCAAAAACTACGACATGAAAAGAGACGACCTGGACAGGTGAGCGACTCAGGCAGACAAACCTACCAGAGACTCACTATGTTATCCTGAGTACAGGGCTGGTTATACTCCCGCACCAGTGTCTAACAGTTAGCTTGTCGCAGGTATGAAGCAGATATTTTTGATTTATGCTCAATTTCGAACCCTGGTCTGCTCCATGTCTGCTTCATGAACTAGCTAGGATAGTTGGTGGGTGCCATGTTTTTCTTCCGGTTACGGAAGTCATTCAACAACAACTGCAACTCGACCAACGTTCACTTTGACTCAGATGAAGCTGATCAATCTAGAAATAGCAGAAATATTGGCACTATCTCCCTCCATGAATTTCTTAAATATGTGCTGTCCTTGTGGTGTGGAGAACGAGAGTCATACAGATGTGGGTACTTCCTCACTTCTTTGCAGACTCGCTTCTACTTCTAGCTGGTCCATCTTCACGAGTCGGATGTGGAATTGACCAATCAGAGGCCTCCTTTCTCTCCTCCAGTTCACTCCCTGCAATGCTATCGCTGTAGACGAGCTGGTTTCTGAGCATAAACCAGGCTTCAGAGCTAAATCTCATCTGGTCCTCTGTTTATGCAACCAGATCCTTCAAGTGGAGCCTTTCAAAACACAGACGGCAGATTAGCTATCAGCCCTCTGAGATGATCCGTCTTCTCTTCCACCAGCTCGATTTCTACTGCTCCTCCATTTACTCCTCCCTTTCTGTTTTTTCAAAGTCCTCTGTGATTAAATAAATGCTTGCATGCTTTACAACCTCTCGTAGCTGTAAACGTTACACAATAGACATTTCTGAAAGCTTAACCTTTCAGTTTGGGCTCTTGTTCAGCTGAAGTCATCAGGACCCAGCCCCTCATCAGCAGAGGTATAAGCTGCACGTCCCAAACTGCATTATGCTAAATTTTCTCAGGGAGATGGGGATTTATTATAAGTCTAAAAAAAAGAACGATTGGTTCTCGTTTTAATTCATAGCAAAAACATGCAATCAGGGTCTTAAAACAGGGTTTCCCATGACTTATCAGTGTCCCCGTCTCAGGGGGTTTTGGAACACTTGGTTTCTGGCTTCTGCTTTGTTTACAGATGTCTTTCAAACTCTCAACCCTCCGTTAGCACAGATGGTTGTACTAAAGGAGTTTATTTAGTTTTTTTAATAGAGTTCTCAGTTTTTTTTAGCATATTTAGGAGATCTGGGTAAAGGAGTGACCAGGAGAGGTGGGCTCCAAACTGTGATAGAGACCAGTTCACTCTAAATGAAGATTTTCCACAAAACCTGAAAAAAACATCTGAAGCTGCTGATAAGCCTAAATCCACCTACTTGTCCTCATTGTGCTGCTTTATAACAGCAGTGTGTATATTCCTGCTTCAAAGGTACGATTAGTATCTGACGTTTTATAATTCCCAACCATTTATTTAACATTCCCCAGTGCACAGTTGAGCAACAGCCCTCTGCAGCGCTTTGTTAGAACTTGATGTGGGGATTTTGGCAGGGTTCCAATTATCCTAGAAGTTGGAACACTTTTTTTTCTTCTTTTTGTTAAGGAAACTCATCAACTTAGAGATTTTAAAAGCATGTGGGTTAAGACCAGTTTATAAAAAGCCCTTACAGTTGGCACTACTTGTTGAAACCCATCCATTTCTAATTTAAAGGGATAGTTCAGATGACTTTTTAAAGTGGAGCTTTGTTAAAAAAAAATACAGCAGTTTATATAGCTCCTGTGGTAATTATCTCTCCTGAATTGTTCATGTGACGCAGTTGTTAGCACTGCCTTCCAGCAAGGTTCCCGGGGTCTTTCTACATGGAGTTTGCATGTTCTCCCTGAGCATCCGGGTACTCCGGCTTCCTCTCACAGTCCAAAAACATGACTGCCAAATTCTCACAATTCATATAAGGCGAATTTAGAGAAGCCAAATTCGCATTGTGGGTGTGTGTCAATGGTAGTTTATCCTGTTTGTCTCTGTGTTTCCCTGGCGACCTGTCCAGGATGGACCCCGCCTCTTGCCCGTAGACAGCTGGAGACGGTGTTAATTTTGACAGCAAATTCTGATTTAGTCTTAGTCTTAGTCTCTTGAATAACACACAGTTTTAGTCATATTTTAGTCATCTGAAATCTTTTAGTCTTAGTCTAGTTTTTGTTGACTAAATGTCAAAAGAGTTTTAGTCTTAGTCTAGTCTTAAGTCTTTGTTTAGTCTCAGTCTAGATTTGAATTAGACTTGAATTTCCCCTTGGGGATCAATAAAGTATCTATCTAGATTCAGACACAGATTGAACAGTTACAGATAAAAAACATGTATTTTATTTTGAATTTCAAAAAGATTAACTGTGGCTTTGCTCCCTGAAAGTTTAGCGCAAACACTGCGGTTAATCATATAAAAAATAACCTTGTATGCTTAGCGTGTATGCTTACCTTCGCATGCATCTCTGGATTAGTCGTCTGCAAATGCCATTTCAAGTTGGTGGTGTTTTTTCCGGATATTTTGGCTCCACACGGTTTGCAGGCTGTCTTGTTGTCCTTGGTGTCATATGTGAAGTGTGCCCAGATATCAACTCTTCTTTTTCGCCCTAGCTGTTGTAACATGTCTATTATTCATTTGATTTTTGAAAGGCTACTACTGCTACAAAAATGCTGCTTCTATGCTTCAACCATACGCGCTCTCTTCTTCTTCTCCTTCTTCGACCAGCTTTATGGCGCATTGCCGCCACCTGGATTTCTTTCTACGGCGGTTGGCAACTAACTTTTGATTGGATTTCTTCCCAACTTGTCCCACAAAAAAAGTTATTCTGATAGGATCACCATTCATCCCTCCCTAATAGTTTAGTCTCATTTTTATTCGTTGACTAAAGTGTCAGTTATTTTCGTAATAGTTTTAGTCATCATATCTCACTTTTTATTTAGTTTTCATTTAGTTTGAGTCCGTGAAAAAGGTTCGTTGACGAGTATTTCTCGTCATAGTCTTCGTCAACAAAATTAACACTGGCTGGAGATAGGCACCAGCACCCCTTGCAACCCCAGCAGGGATAAGCACGACGAAAAATGGATGAATGGATGGATGGATTGCTCATGTAGTAAAAATCCACCTTATTGGGTATTGGGGGCTCAATCTAAGACCAAAGTAAACTTATAGGGTCTAAAAGGGCTTCAGTCTATCAAAATTTAAAGCTGATGTATGGGGAAGCCCTTTACTATTTATACAAGGTTCTAATAAAATAAATAATATGCTTTAATGTCCAAAGATATAATAATGGTTTGATTTTTCTAATTTCTTTATAGCCTGAGTTTTCTGCTCGGTACTTGATCTAACAGGCTGAGGTTGCATTTTCAGTGTGTTTCACAAAACATCATCTGTGGCACATTACCTCCCACCTTCACATCCTGTGTGAATAATCATCCGTTTCTGAGAAAATATTGTGGGGAATTTTGTTCCACTATTTTTGTAAAAACACACATTTCATAAATTGAAATGCAAAAAAACTAAAACTGCAATCCTAAAATGAAACTAGGAAAAATAGGTTTTGAGAGCAGCTTTGCTGTCTTCTCAGATTTAGTATTTTTATGTTATTTTTCAAGTTTTGGTAAAATGGTAAATACTATTTTAACTACATTTTAGCTACAGCTGCCCTGGTGCTCACTGCCGTGCACTGGCGCCACCAGTCCCTCCGACCACCATCAGTAGGCGATGTTGGTGAAGTGTATTATTCAAGGCCACAGCACTGAAACACTGAGGGTGAAGCCGGGGCTTCAACCGACAACCCTCCAATTGCAGGACAAAGTCCTTCAGCCGAAGCCACCATCACCCATAAATACTTAAGACTTTTTATTTCTTTTTAAAAGTTTTTTTCTTCAAAAATTATTTTAAAATAAATAAATTTTAGTTATAGTTTTCATTCTTATGGTCGCCTATATACAGTGTACCTAAATACTGTATCTGTGTAGAACTTGCATACTCTATCTACTGCCTAGTGACTCACTTCAGTTCTGTTTAAAGAAACACGTTTGCTTCATCAAAGGTTTGTTTCTGACCTCCTGTTTTCTTCTTTGTTTTTTTGTACCTAGTACCTTGTAGGGTGTGTGATAAAGATAACAGTTTCAACATCCAATCCAACTTCATTTATAAAGCACTTTTTTTTTTCAAAGGACCAAAGAGTTGTAAAGTGAAACAACGTAACACCATTACACAGACTTAAAAAAAACCATACAAGCATAAAAGACTAAATTAAAATCAGAACTATGAAATCTATAATAAAATAAAAATAAAAGTACTTGAAATAATGTACCACAGACTAAAATCAACATCTCACACATTTTAGAAAGCCACTGCAAAGAGATGAGCTTTTAAGAGCGGTTTAAAATCAGACAAAGTAGACTAATTAATTTGCAATAGAAGGTCGTTCCACATTTTTGCAGCTGCCACATAGAAAGCACGATATCCCCTGAGCTTCCGTTTAGTTTTTGGCACCTCGAGAATCAGCTGATCGGCTGACCTGATTGAAAGGGAGGGTGAAGCAACTCAGAAAGATAACATGGAGCATGACCATCGAGAGACTTTAAAACAAGACCTTTTTTTATGGGGAGGGGGTTTTATGGCACTATTGGCTCGTTTTTTTGGACGGTAGGCTGACAGGAAAGGGGGTATAAGAGAGAGGGAGAGACACGAGGTACACAGGCTGGATTGGAACCCGGGTCGGCCACGTCGACGACTAAGGCCTCCATATATGGGTCATGTGCGCCAACCACTGAAGCACGCCCAAATAAAAGAACTTAAAAATGAATCCTAAAATGTACAGGGTGTAATGAGGCTAAAATTGGGGTAATGGGCTCATATTTATGGAGGCCAGATAAAAGACCTGCTGCAACGTTTTGCACTCTCTGGAGTTAATAAAGTGCGTTACAGTAATCCAGCCGGGTAGTGATACAGGCATGGATTACTCTCTCTGAAATATCTCTGGAGAGAATGGGATTTATTTTGGCCAACTGCCTTAACTGAACGAAAACTTTTCTTCGCTGTTGCCTTTATCTGGCACTTTATCATAAAGCACGTCATATGACCTGCAAGTGAAGGCCGCTCATTCTTGGTACTGAACTTCACTTTTCCTTTAGATGCATTTCGTCCCAAATTTGAATTCACTAACTTTACCACTGTATAACTTTTGACCCGCTTAAAGTGAAATACTTACAGGACTTTATATTTTTTATGTTATCGTTTCTTAAACCACAGTTTGGGTTTCTTTCTTACTTCTCTGTAAGAACATACATTTCTTTAGTTTACTGACATTTAGAAAATATTAAGGGGATTGTGATAAATATACAGGTGCTGGTCATAAAATTAGAATATCATGAAAAAGTAGATTGATTTCAGTAATTCCATTTAAAAAGTGAAACTTGTATATTATATTCATACATTACAAACAAACTCATATATTTCAGATGTTTATTTTGTTTAATTTTGATGATTACAAATGACAACAAATGAAAATCTCAAATTCATCATATCAGAAAATTAGAATATTACTGAAGACCAATAAAAACAAAGGATTTATAGAAATGTTGGCCAACTGAAAAGTATGAACATGAAAAGTATGAGCATGTACAGCACTCAGTATTTAGTTGGGCCTCCTTTGGCCTGTATTACTGCAGCAATGCGGCGTGGCATGGAGTCGATCAGTCTGTGGCACTGCTCAGGTGTTATGATAGCCCAGGTTGCTCTAATAGTGGCTTTTAGCTCTTCTGAATTGTTGGGTCTGGTGTATTGCATCTTCTTCTTCACAATACACCATAGATTTTCTATGGGGTTAAGGTCAGGAGAGTTTGCTGGCCAATTAAGAACAGGGATACCATGGTCCTTCAACCAGGTACTGGTAGCTTTGGCACTGTGTGCAGGTGCCAAGTCCTGTTGGAAAATGAAATCTGCATCTCCAAAAAGTTGGTCAGCTGCAGGAAGCATGAAGTGCTCTAAAACTTCCTGGTATGTGGCTGCGTTGACCCTGGACCTCAGAAAACACAATGGACCAACACCAGCAGATGACATGGCACCCCAAACCATCACTGACTGTGGAAACTTTACACTGGACTTCAAGCAACGTGAATGAAGTGCCTCTCTTCTTTTCCTCCAGACTCTGGGACCTTGATTTCCAAAGGAAATGCAAAATTTACTTTCATCAGAGAACATGACTTTGGACCACTCACCAGCAGTCCAGTCCTGTTTCTCTTTAGACGCTTCTGACGCTGTCTGTGGTTCAAGAGTGGCTTGACACAAGGAATGCGACAGCAGAAACCCATGTCTTTCATACGTCTGTGTGTGGTGGTTCTTGAAGCACTCACTCCAGCTGCAGTCCACTCTTTGTGAATCTCCCCCACATTTTTGAATGGGTTTTGTTTCACAATCCTCTCCAGGGTGCGGTTATCTCTCTTGCTTGTACACTTTTTTCGACCACATCTTTTCCTTCCCTTCGCCTCTCTGTTAATGTGCTTGGACACTGAGCTCTGTGAACAGCCAGCCTCTTTAGCGATGACCTTTTGTGTCTTGCCCTCCTTGTGCAAGGTGTCGATGGTCGTCTTTTGGACAACTGTCAAGTCAGCAGTCTTCCCCATGATTGTGTAGCCTATAGAACTAGACTGAAAGACCATTTAAAGGCTTTTGCAGGTGGTTTGAGTTAATTAGCTGATTAGAGTGTGGCACCAGGGGCCATCAATTTTGAACCTTTTCACAATATTCTAATTTTCTGATATGATGAATTTGAGATTTTCATTTGTTGTCATTTGTAATCATCAAAATTAAACAAAATAAACATCTGAAATATATGAGTTTGTATGTAATGTATGAATATAATATACAAGTTTCACTTTTTAAATGGAATTACTGAAATCAATCTACTTTTTCATGATATTCTAATTTTATGACCAGCACCTGTATAAGATGATTTGACTAGGATGATTATAACAAAAATAGATTTCCATAGAGCAGTATTGTGCAGTAGATGTAGTCTAATGTAAAACAGACAAAGCCTGCAGGGTTTTTCTCCTCTCAACAACAGGCACCTTGTGCTCACGGCTTTATGGAAACATCTCTGATTAGGGATCAAGCTTTTTTTTTTTTTGGTTTACGGTGCCTAATTTGGGTCCTACACATGCCTTCATTTCCCGCTCATATTTTGGAACAAAGAGCTTTTGTTAGCGCTGTACAAGTCCACTTTCATCTTGTTTTTTCAGTAATTTGGAACCACAGCAAAAATGCCTTTACATTCTGATTTCTGAAGAACAATTATTGAAGTCTGTGTTTTTCTGTATTTTATTGATTGCATCCATATGGATGTCTGAGAGTAAAAAAACAACACAAAACAAACAGTTCTTTCGTATCACTAATAGACTAATAAATTACTTCTGACTTTCTGCAGATATGTGTTCCTGATTGGGCTCATGGACCGCAGTGAGAAGCTCTTCTATCGTCTTATAAATTCAGACGTAGAGAGGTTTATGCCCATCATCTACACTCCCACTGTGGGTCTGGCCTGCCAGCAGTATGGCCTCATCTTCAGAAGACCAAGGTAGGTCATATTTCTACTCTTCAGCTATTTGATGGTCTATTAGGATACTTCTAGGTTTACTCTTGTGGGATTCTGTTTTCTTTCTGCTGGTTTAGTTTCATGTTCCCTTGTTTATCTTGGCTTTTTATCCACCAATGAAGCACATCATGTTTTTTTCTTTTTTCTTATCACACATCCTGTTTAACTAAATCTTACGATGATATTAAAATGCTAATATACGCTCCCTCAGGGGGAGGTATTTCTTTTGAAAACTGCTAAATATTACTATAGACTCTGTATTGGGATATTTTCTCAAAGGTAATTTTGACATAGTTGGCTTTTATGATCCAATGAGTGTTAAAGGTATAGTGGAGGATTTTTGCACTTTTTTGAAAAGGCCCGCCTTCTCCTCTTTTAACAAAATGCATGTGCACAACCCTGTTCCCGCTCCCGAGAGGGAACGCCTATTAGACACGTGTGAGAGCGTGCATGAGCCTATTTCTCCTCATGCACGCTCTGTTTAGAAGTTGCTATTCGATCATACAAGCTTACTTTCCAAGAGAAGACTTACATTTTTTTCCACTATGTCAGACTCACCACCGGTAAGTGAAAATGGGGACGAGCACGTAGGACGGCACCTTACTTAAACATATCACCAGAATGATTGACAATTAGGAGGACCACTTATTTAGATGATCCACCCAGAAAAAGAACATCCTGACACTTTCATTTGCTTTCATTTTTTTTAAGTTAATTTTGCTTAATATTATGTTTAATTTTGATCCCACCATGGACAGTTCTGTTTTGTGCTTTCAGTTTTTGTTCTGGTTAATTTAACCCTATCTTTAACTACCTCTTCAAATGGTCTATTGTTTGAACGTAATAATTGAAACTGTGACTATTTCTCCCTCACGACCTTAAAAAACATCTTAAAAGAAAGGAGATGATGCTGTTTTCCCTTGTTGTTTGACTTTTTGGGCCCCACATACATGGTTGTTAGTAAGTCCCAGGCAGCAGTCCTTCATTGCTCTGTTAGTTTTGTCATCATTTCTGTTGCTTCTTGTTCAGGAACATTATTCCACTGCTGCTACCAGCTTTGTAGCAAGTGCAGCCCACTGAAAGGAAATGACTTATCATGCTCTGCTGATAGATGTTGTTCTTTGTTGAGGTGAGAATCAGTTTTTTAGGTTAATAAAAATGACGGATGGTGGCAAACATTAACCTGACTCCGCCAGATGGATTTGCTCCGCATATCCATCTGGAAACCTTCCGTTGAAGTAATTTTGGGAAGGGGTGAAAATACTGGTTAGCTGATTGGCCTATGTTGATGATAGACGGGCCAAATAAACCAATCAGATCAACGAAGCATATGACGTACTAACAGAGCAACGACAAAAACACAACTACAAGCCAGGCTACTCTTGCCGAAACCAGTCGGGAGAAGAGCAAAAACATCTTTTCCTCTGAGAAAAGCCTCCAGAGCAGTGTTTTGCTCTTCTTTCAGTGAAGAAATACTCTGTAATTCCGATAAAACTTGCTCAATAGCCACGCTAACCCTAGTTTCATAGGCTGAAGCGGCCATGTTCTTTAGACTGAACTGTCGCGCTTCGCGTTGCATCACACCTCAACCCGCCTCAAAACCAACGCTGATTGGACGTTCGTTTGGTGAACGGCTCCAAATTTTCTTTAACGGTGAGTCTCCAGACTGATCTCCGAGTGAAACCTTGAAAGCTCGCGAGATCAGGATGGTCTCACGAGGCTAGGCAAACATTAACCATGAGGATTAAAACTACAACTGGAGAGGCTAGAAAATCAACTAGTGGTAGGCTAGGCAGTTTCTAAGTTAGTACATACTTTGCTAAGGTTACTAGCTCCAACCATTGATGTCTATTTATTTAATATATTGAGAAAGCTTCCTGGAGAGGTGGCGAAACGTCTTCAAATCTTGGAAACCAACTCCAGTTGATATTTTTTGAATTTTTACGGAAATACTCCCTCATTAGACAGGTCAGAATGTAGACAAAATGTGCGCTACAGCAACAAACGACAATGATTTTCTCATTTTCAGGGGGACTTAAGACTTAAATTAACCACTTTGACACACTTGCCCTTTTATAGAATCTGTAGATTACTGTCATGTTTGGTAAAGAAATAGAAACATTACATTGCATATTCAGAATGAAGTCCATGAAGTCTATAAATCATGCAATATATCATATTATAGAAATCCATCACAACAAGATTAGTGTATTAATGGAGCGTAATAATACTGTAGTCGGATATCAAGAATATTACACATGCACACAAACACTACCTGATGATGTGCCAAATGTGCTTAATTGATGATGTGCATGCATTATACATGTATTGATTATTTTTATGGCGCGTTTCCATGAAAGTGGGGAATACCAAGATGGCTTCAGTTTTTTTCGGTCTAGCAGCAATCCAGTAATAAGTAGAGATCAGCTGCTCCAAACAGGAAGAAAACGGTACTGTTTTGAGAGGTGGGATTTCCTGAAAAGTAGCCAAACACATCAGATTTTTTTTCTCTGGTTGATTCCTTCCACAAAGTAACAAAAGTTGACATGATAGCAGAAATGGTTCCACAAGAGGGGGGAGAGACTACCTGTGAGTGGAAAGCAAGCCATGGAGCTTTAACCCATCTCACTGTTTTGAATCTACATTTATAAAACATTCAAAATGCATCCGGAGAGTATTTACCTGGATGTTTTTAATTAAAATTGCTCATAATAGTATTTATTAGCAGCTTTGACAGAGTTCTGACTTCACTGGAAAGGTCAGATTTAGTTCTATATAAACTTTATGAACTGCTTTTCCTCGGTACTCTAACATAGAAGCCTATTTTTTTAAATGACTTGAAGTCTTATGTGAACTGTTTGTATCCTGTTATAACTATTTCTCACCTTGTCCTCTGTTGTTGGGTTTCACCCGAAAACAGAATTCTGTTGGAAAAGACAGAAATATCTGAGAAAAATCAGGGAACCCTGCTCTGATTTGGAAAAATTATGTCAATGAACAATCCGATTTCTTCCCCACACTTTCACACACATTTTTTACACTCCTACACACAAACCTGCAAAAACCTTCCCTAGAAGTGTGTTAACCCTCACAGAACCTCATCTGCTCCATGACAGCAGTCTCCCTCCCCCCTTGCAGCTACCAAAAGCTGATTGTTTCCCCATCCAGGTCCACAGTGTTTTATTTGGATCTGCCCTAACCAGCTTCATGTGGTTTCAAGTGCTTTTACTCTAATAGGGCTCAAAGGAGAAAGACCACCCCAGTTAATTGTCCTTCGAAGCATCCTGTACTCACTTACTGCTGTTTTATAGAAATAAGAGGATGATGAATTTATTCCACTTCTTCGTATAATCAATAAACCTGTTTAATAAAATTAAAAATCCTTCAAAAAAATCCTTAGTGAGGTTCTAAGGAGCCATAAATGTTTGAGGACCTTCTCCAATTATGCATTTAGCTTTCTTTACTTTATTTAGTGGTTTCACATGCATTTTGATTTGGTGCTTATTATCAGCTGTTAAATCACAGTTTTCCTAATGATTCCCAAACAGTTTTTTTTTTTAGAAATGCCTTCGGTTAGATGTTTGGCAAACCAAGTCATCCTTTGTACATAATATGTAACTTTTGTTACTCAACAGCTCCTAATTTCTCCATCCCTGAAGGACTTACTGGAAAATATCTGCAGCTTTCTCTAATCTTCTCACACTCAGTTGCCTGCAAGAGTTTTTTTTTTTTTAACACTCCACCTCAGCAGTTATTTGTGTGTTGAGGTAAAAGCTGTGGATTGTGGCAGAGTTCACAGCTTCTTTAGGAAATGTTTATTATTTTTGAGGGGGCATTATGTAAATGCGACTTATGATGCATCTCAATTATCATTTTAAAGTCGAATGACCTGATCCCAAATCTCAGAGCGGTACCTCTGGAAGTCGCAAATCAACAACAGTGGGAGGTTAAAGTTTCCAGGAGCTCGTTAAAACCTAAAGTGAATACATGCTAAAAGTAAAGTAATGCAGGAATAGTCAAGAGGGCTGCATTCCACCCCTCTATGATTCATTTCTGATTAGTATAGATCCCATACTGCAAGCAGACTGTGGGGAGATTGCTGGTGATTAGACAATCAGTCTATTTTTAGCTCTGAAAGGTAAATAAATGCAAAAGTCTGATTGTTGCATTCCTAGTTTATTCACAATAATTATATAGTTTTATTTTTTCAAATATTTCTTGTAATCTTTTAAAAACTTTAATCAAATTTCGGTCTTATTTTATAGTAAAACTATTTCAACTAGAAAAAGTTGCATTTCCTGCGAAAATGCAGTGTTATTGCTGTAGGCTATAAGGAGAAAAGGGCAGAAATTTAAAGCAAAAGCTGTTGACATTGTATGAAATGGCAAAAAACAATAATGTCTAATTAGTTTCCTAAAAATAGCTGAAGCCAAACGCAGAAACATGGCAGACATTTTATGAACTAACAGCAAACAGAGCAGAACCAAGCCAAAATTGAAAAAAAAGAAAATAATTTGAAATTTAATAAAATAGCAGAAACAGTAAAATAAATAGTAAAAATTATCTTATTGAAGACAAAAAGGAGTAACTGAAGATTAGGAAGTAAAATGTTCAAGAATATGGTATTGAAGAAGTATTGAAGTGTGAAATCATATCTGAAATTGCAGCATTCACACAATTAAAGTTCTTTTTTAGTCTTGTATCACATTCACAGTAGCAATGTGCAATAAATAGATTTTTATAAATTTATATAATTTGCTGTTTCTGATGCATTTACTTTTGAACTAGTTTTGCACCCCTTACTGTTTTGTTGTTCAAAATGACAACAGATACATTTTTCTTGTAACTGTAAATGCCTCATTTTGATATTTTTTCAGTGGTAGAGCTGTTCATTTGTTCAACAAGCATGTTTTACAGCTTTGATTTAGTTGCACTTTGGGTTTAGATTGAATTGTAAAAGTATCTTCTGTCAATTGTGATTC